CAGGTACTGACCAGGCTCACACCTGCTGAGCTTCAGTGGGTTCCCAGTTGTGAGTTGCAGAGTGATATGGCTGCTGGCTGGTAAAAAAAAGTAAACTTAAAGGTTTACTGAAGTGACAGATGCATTAAAATTAACTTGTTATAGTCTATAATACCAGCAGTTGTGAAGTGGATATTTATACATGGCTCAATGCCACGAATTAAGGAGAATGCCAGTTCTGAAGAATACAGCAGGGAATAAACTAAAACTAATGTGGAGTGAAGTAAATACAGAGAAAAAACACCATCATTTGGGAATTTTTTAACAGCCAAATTCAGTCATTCTTAATTTGTTTCAAATATACAAAACAAACAATGTCCAGGTCTGTGTAAAAGTCAGAACACTATCTACAGTACACTATTGGTTTGTGCTGAGAACCAAGACACTCTGTCCCTGGAAACTGAAAGTACTGTTTGCATAAAGATCTTAAATTAATATTTGGCTGAGGCTGTTATTGAAAGCAATTTTACATCTGGACCCATTTAAACAGCCGGGTATTATACTGAATACTTTCATTTAAAGTATTCACCAGCTCAAGGTTACAAACTTCCAGTTACAAGTCAGGTTCAGCTGTAAGGTGACACAGCTCAGGCTTGACCAACAATGAGTTTAAGCCTTTTTAAGATGTTCAAAACGAGTTGTGCTTCTCATATGATGCAAACAAGAAAACTATATTTTTCCTCCTGTGACTATGCACATCCACTTTCTCATGTCTTGTAAGTAGTGTGTAAGGCCTACTGTCTAGGCTGTTACTGTACATGAAAATCTCTTCTCAACTAACTCATCTGGTGAAATAAAGAGTAATGTAGCACTGCTCAGTGATGTAAGGCAGGCTTGGCTAGGCTCAAACTCAAGTTCAAGATCGGCTCAGTGGAAAAAGGGTTTAGAAAACTACAGGACTGGTGCACTGATTTCAAGGCCTGCTTCTCTGTTAAATGCAGATTCAAAGCATTACATGTCTGTGAGTGAGTTCTTACTTGGGCCCAAAGCACATGCAAAGGCTGGCAAGGTATCCATTGGAGAAGGCAAAGACAATCATGAAGATGATGAACCAGACATCGTGCGCGAAGATCACAGGCAGGTTCACTCTCATCTGGACGTTACACAGCATGAACAAGGGTACGAACACCACACGGGCAACCACCAAGATAGGCAAAAGCTTGCTGTCCTTCCCTGGCTGGGGAAAACGGAAAAACATTCAGAAGAATTGCAAATGCTGAATGGCACATAACCTTTTATCATTTTTTACCCATTATTGTGAAGTCACTTATTTGTGGTAATTCCTAGTAAGATACATGGCAATTGCTGGAGTTATCTCAAGGTTTGGTTAAAGCCATCATGGCCTCTAGAAGTAGGAAAGGGAGGCATTAAGGCACTAACATTAACAGTCCTGCATGCGAGCAATTCTGGACAATGGCCTTCTTGCTTTTGCTAGCTGTACTCAGTGCCTTTGTTTTATTCAAAAGCAAAAACACTCATGGAAAGTGCCACAGCCCTTGTATTTCTTGTGAGTTTAAGTACTGATGAACATAAGGAATGAATTAGAGAAAGAGAGGCTAAAAGACAAGTCTTGCAGCCAGGATGAATCATAGTTCCCTCTTTGCCAGCTGTTTTTTTTCCTGTTCTTTTGTGGTTTGGATGTTCTTTTACAGGCAGTCTTTAAGAAGGGGCCCTGCTGAGGTCAGTAGAGCTAAGACCATCCAACCAGGCCAGATGACCCATTCTCCCATTTCTCCTGTGCGGTGTGCTCAAACCTTGTTCTTCCCTCTGTTGTGCATTTAAACTACTTTACTTCTCAAACCTTATGCTGCACAGTCTTCCAATTTCTTCTGGATTCAGATTATTTTTTTTTCCCTCACAGCAAACCTTCTGTGCACTCTGTCTCTGTGATCCATATCCGCCTCTTAGTCTCACCAATCATCACTGTATCTACGATCTCCTTTAGCTCTTCCCTGTGCACCAGGGGACACTGGGCTAGGAGGGCATGTCCTTCGGATTACATTAATTAGAGTCTACTACCCTGTCTGGAGACTACTTACATATTACACATCTCATGACACTGTTTGTAAGAACAGAAGTGTTAACTCTGGTGTCCAAACAAACTTTCATTTTAGGTTTTAAATTTTAGTACAATGAGACACTTCTAACTAAATCTAAGTACATTCTCACAGCTTCACCTGAGCTGCTGGTGCAGAATGGCTGCCTCAAGTCACCAAGGTGGGGCTTCATTTCAATGCTGGACGAAGGGTTGATGTTTGTGCCCTTTGACCCAATATATATCTACACAGAGGAGTGGCCAAAGCTAGGACATGGTATTGAAATCTTTTATGTGATGTGATGCTTATTCCATATTCTACGTTTGCTGAGAGTTTGCTGATTTTATATAAACATAGAATTGTGAGCGAGAATTGAGAATTGTATAGATGTGCACATAATGGAAACCTTATTATGATATACAGTGTCAATAATTATGTAATTTTGATTCCCCACTGCATTTAATGTTCTTCATTCTGACAGTGTGGTGGCAGAAACAAGCATCTACAGCCTTGTGTAGTACAAGGACTTTTTGCAAAACTAAACCATTTCTAAACATTAAGGGCTGCACATATCCACTGCCAGACAGCCTAAACATGGAAAATATTCAAGACCATAGAGACTCTAACAGGGCCAGTCGTAGCATCTAAGATTGAGTAACATCTAAGGATCAGAGGCCTCTCTTGCTGTGGCTTGTGAGTGTTCATGCTTCAGCCTTTAGAAAATTACTGAAAAGAATGGTGTTCATGTAAGGATAACCAGGAAGAAACCATTGATTTCTAAAATGATTATTGCCACCCACCTGACCAAAGAGTGTCTGGATGAATCACAAGACTTCTAATAGGATGTTCTCAGGACAGACGAGTCAAACGCTTCTGGCACCAATGAAATGTTTTATGCAACAAAAACCAAACTGCCTTCCAGCTGAAGGCCTTATCCCAGCCATCAATCATGGTTCGGGACTGCTTGGCTGCCTCAGGACCCAGATAGACTGTCATCATTGATAGAGCCATGAATTCAGAGCTGTATCAGCATGTTCTGGAGAACTACACCCATCCATAAAAAGAAACTTTGCATTTGGATTGGCCAAGTCAAAGTCTGGACCTAAACCCCATTTAAATGGTATGGCATAACCTGAGCCGTTTCCGACTTGATGAGAGTTCTACAAGAACTGGGCCAAAATTTTCTAAAAGCAGTATTCTTTGTGTACTGCATTTAATTAGGTTGGCTCCATCTTTTATAAAGACTCCAATTATCTTTATAAACATCCAACTACATTTTAGGTCTAATATATACAAAAACATGGAGCAAATTGGGAGGTTCACAAACCTTTTCTTAGAACTGTAAAACTTGCTTTAAACCATTATAGTTTTTAGAACGGTAACACCAAAATGTTTTGGTACAATGTTGAGAAATTAAAATCAGATGTTAATTTCACAGCATATTCCTTACATTGTACAGTTTGTGCAAGAAGGAAAACACTTCAGATGCAGTAAATATTTTCCATGATTCCACTGTTTATCAGGGAAAAACTCCCAAGACAAACACCCCTTGCCAATTCATTATGGGATAGTATTTTATTTGAAACCATAACTGAAACAATGTGGTTTCCAGATCAGAGCAACAGAAAACAAAAAAATGTTTGTTTTCACCAAACAAAAAAGTAGTACATAATTCCAATCAGTGGTTCTTAGACAGCAGGAGAGGAGCAGAGAGAGGAGCTGCAGCAGGAGAGGAGCAGTGAGAGGAGCTACAGCAGGAGAAGAGCAGTGAGAGGAGCTGCAAAATGAGAGAGGAGCTGCAGCAGGAGAGGAGCAGAGAGAGGAGCTGCAAAAGGAGAGAGGGGTTGCAGCGGGAGAGGAGCAGAGAGAGGAACTGAAGCAGGAGAGGAGCAGAGAGAGGAACTGAAGCAGGAGAGGGGAGCTGCAGCAGGAGAGGAGCAGGCAGACAGAGGACTGGAATGCTAAGTTGGAGGCTGGAACTCACCCACATGCAGATGGCAGTCAGGCTTCTCCCAGCCCAATCCAGCAGGTTGAAGAGCAGGAAGCAGGACACAGGGATGAAGTACTTACCTATAGAAGCAGAAGAAAGAAGCCAAAGCAATTCAAAACTAAAACATCTTTAATTATTAATGCAGTCAAGTTTTCTGAAACTATGCCTTTTTGAACTCTATTGGCCACTTGTGTCCTACAGGAATGTAGGCTCTTTGAGATGAATTATAAAATTTACAACTTTGATTGCGAGACATTTTATTATTTTAAATATGCCTTTGTGTGAAATAAAAGACAAAAATGTCAGGGTTACCAGTGAGACAAACCCAGCACTGTAACTTAATCAGTAAAATCCCAGATTTGGAACTGCAGAGTGTCTGCTTATAACACCTTAGTAATACACACAGTAACAGACTAGTCCAGAGCAACAAATATACACTGACTGTTATATAACTTTTACTACTGGATTTATGTTGGTCGGAGAACTAAAATGTCTTCTTTGCACTCAGCAGGATGAGAGCCATCAGTTTCTGTCACAATGAGGATGTAACACACACAACAGCTACAACAACCACATCTACAACAGAACCACCAATTTCAAGGTGTAGAAACAGTTCTGGTGTCTTGAAAGACTCTGGTATTATCCTCCAATAATTATTATAGGCCTTATTTTTAATCTAACACAAATGGATCTTCTATCTTTCCATTACAGAGGTAACTGTTTCCCTTAAATTCTTCAGTACACTGCACAACTGTTAAGCTCTTTTGCAAAAGGGAATTTTATTGGTTTAGCAAAAGGCTATGTTAAATAAATGTGAAATTCTCTCCCTTCTCTCAGAGGGGTTGGCACTGAGACAGATCTACTCCAGTCTGCAGCTCCCCTCTTGTTCCTCATGAAGGGGGCAAAAGAGTAAATAATAATAATAAACTTTATTTATCGAGCACCTTTCATACAAATAGCAGCTTAAAGTGCTTTACAAACCAATGTAAAAATAAAATCTAAAAATTAAAAGATATACATTCAGTTGTAAAAAAAACAAAGTAATACAGTAAAGCAACATAAATGTCAATTTATTCTTAAAGAAGAAAAAAACAGAAAAACGAATTTAAGCAAATGAAAAAGATATGTTTTCAAATGTTTTTTAAAACAGTATACCAAGCTTGACTGCCTAATGGTAATGTCTAGTGGTAGTGAGTTCCATAATTTAGAAGCATAAAAACAAAAAGCGGCCTCTCTACTATTTCTGTACTTCATATGTGGTATTTGCAGATCTCAGGTCACGTATAGGAACATATAAAGACAGGCATTCAGTAAAGTATACAGGTGCTAGGCCATTTAAAGCTTTAAGAACTTTTAAAATCTATCATAGATAATACAGGTAACAGTGAAGTTCTTTCAAAAACAGGGGTGATGTGTGCTCTCCTTTGTGTTTTTGTTAGGATCCGTGCTGCTGCATTTTGAACAGGTTGTAGGGGATTTATTGTTTTCTTGTGGAGCCCACTAAACAGGGCATTACAATAATCAATTCTAGTAGTAACAAATGCATAGACAAGTTTTTCTGCATCGCCCTGGGATAAAAAAGGCCTAACTGTCGCAATGTTTCTTAAATGATAGAACGTAACTTTACTAACCTTATTCATATGAGGGACAAAACAAAGATCAGAATCTGGAGGTCTTCCGATTTAACACATGAAGCATAAGAGCCCAATTTATCCTGCAAGAGGTCTCTCTGAGTTTTAGTACCCAATATCAATATTTCAGTCTTGTCCTGATTCAATTGATCTTCAGATGGAATAGAGATATACTATACAGTTGTGTATCATTGGCATAGCTATGAAAATTGATCCCATGGTTCCTGATTACATTACCTAGAGGTAACATATACAATGAAAAGAGCAGAGGTTATAAAATGGAACCCTGCGGAACTCCACAAGAAATATAAATTTTTTTATGATTTATTTCCTAAAGCAACAAAAAACTGTCTATTCATCAAATGGGATTTAAACCATTCTAAAACCCTGAAAGACCCTGAAAGACCAACCCAGTTTTCAAGTCAATGGATCAGGATCTTGTGATCAACTGTTTCAAAAGCTGCACCGAGATCAAAGAAGACCAAAACAGAGGCATTATGTTCATTGGACCTCAGTCTCAGGTCATTCACAACACGGACCAATGCCGTCTCTGTACTATGGTTAGTATACAAACCTGACTGAAATTTTTCCAAAAAATTGTTAAAGACCAGATATTCATTTAATTGAATAAAAACAACTTTCTCTTAAATTTTACTTAAAAAAGGTATGTTTCAAATAGGTCTAAAATTGCAAATAACAGCAGGATCCATATTAGTCTTTTTTAATAAAGGCAGTCTTAAAACTCCAGTTTATAGAGAGCAATTTACAATAGTTAAAACATCATTTGCACACAATCACAAACCTTGTTAAAAAAAGTTTGTAGGAATAGGGTCAAGATCACATGTGGAAGACCTTAATTTGTCTGTAACAGTTTTAAGTGTTTGAAGATTAATAACGGAGAAAGATGTCATAACAGATGTAGGCGACTGATCAGGACAATTGGGAAAATTGTTGTGGCTGTCTGAGCTATGTTCTGTCTAATCAAAGTTATTTTATCTTGAAAATGAATTGCAAACTCTTCACATTTTGTAGAAGATAAAACATCATAAGAAAAATTATGATTTTTTAACCCTACCAGAAAAAGTAGGGTTAATTAAACTGTCTATAGTGGAAAAAAGTACTTTGGTATTATCTTTGTGTTTGTTAATTACACTAGAGAAGTACAACTGTCTTGCCCTTTTTATGGAAGTATTGTAGGTAGAATTCTGTTCTCTCAGAATGTCATAATGGACCTGCAGTTTAGGTTTTCTCCATAAGCGCCATGATTTGCAACAATTTCTCTTAAGCTGACATATTTCTTCATTCATCCAAGGAGTTTTATGAGTGAGTGAGATTTTCTTCCATTTGGCTAGTGCAACAGTGTCAAGAGTTTCCCTAAGTTTAGCATTCAGAGCATAAACCAGATCATTGCAAGAGGGAGACATCGCTGTGCATGAAACATAATTTAAAATGTTTTTAAACTTCTGAGCTGTTTTTGAATTTATGTCATGCTTTTTAACATAACATTCAGGTGCTTTCTTCCTGACTTGAAAATTAAAATTTTGTGAAAGAATACACAAAAATGGTCCGATATCAGTACATCAGATATTAGTAACACCTCTGTGTCTAAACTTTTACAGACAACCAAGTCCAAGATGTGACCAAGTTTAAGAGTAGAACTATCCACATGCTTCTTATACTCAAACATCTCCAAGAGTCTAATGAATTCCATAGCGTTAGTGTATGATGAGTTATCAATATGCAAGTTAAAACTAACAGTGAAAATAATTTTATCATAGCTGGTAGATGCAACTGATAATGGTTCAGCAAATTACCCATGAAATCACCATTATACTTGGGAGGTCTATAAATAGCAACAAACAGCACAGAAGTATCATATATAAGAGTGAGTGCCACATACTCAAATGATAAAAACTAACCAACAAAATTTTACAGTTAAAATTACCACTGTAGATACATGCCACTCCCCCTCCTCGCCTTCCCTGTCTAGCAGCGTGCATAAATCTATAGTTGTCAGGAGCCAAATAATGAGGAAACTTGAGTACCCAGAGAATCCGGGAGAACAAGTCAACTCCACACAAAAAGGTGTCTGATCCAGACAATAATTCACATGTTAGCTAAACTGTATGGCATATGACCCAACATAGCACAGTCTATGTGCTATGTGGTCACAAAGCACAGTCTATGTGCTATGTGGTCACAAAGCCCAGAGTGGTCTTGAGTGACTAAACATAACTGCAAATTGTTCGTCCTGACAAATTACTTCTGACCTTGTCAGTTTATGAGTTAATTAAATTGATGGGGAACAGAATATGAGTAGTAAGGTAAAAACCAAAGCTAAAGTTAATAACGGTGTTAAAAAGAGATACAGAAGAAAAACTGTCTTGGACAAAACATTCGTACACTTGCATTGATCCCAGGGACCAACTACTTCTGTTTGATTATATAAAGCCTCAGACGAACTGGGAAAGCACAGGGGCAACATACCCCAGGTGCTGTCCCCTGCGATTGTCGATTTGACATCTGCAGTCACAGCAGGGAACGTTCCGATGGTCACGGTGAACACGAAGCATACGGACAGAGCCATCACCCAGATCTGCAGGCAGGAAAGAAAATGCCTCTTCTGAACAGCAATGCCTTCTAAAGGGTCTCTTCTGAACAGTCAATATTTCCGCTTTTTTAAAAACAGCCATAAGAATTGTTTAATGACCAAGTATTCAGGACTTCCATTTAATGTTTCATCAGAAAGATAGTACCAACACAGTTTCTGGTTAGCACACTGGAGGACCGGTTTGGAAATACTGCTCTACAGAATTCGGAAGGTGTTATAAATAAAACTCTCATCTAAACATGTTCTTTGGAATGGTTTGGAAGTACAGTATGTGTTGCTGCAGATCACTTTACCTTTTTGAAAATCTCGAACACTGAGGAGCTTGTGTGCTTACTGAAGGCTACACTGTTGTCCACACCATTGATGTTCTCTGTGAAGACAAAAATGCAGAATTACAAAGCAAGATGAATTTGCCCAGCACACTAGAGAAGCTGGAATGTTAATGTGCCAGACACAAATTCTGCTTCCAGTAACTCTTTTAAATAAAACTGAAGAAACTGTTAAATTTAATAACTAATTTGTAATGGTGTTGTACACCCAATGTTAATGTGAAGTAGCCAGATGTGTCGCAGTTTAACAGTGGCAGTAACATTGTGGTCGCCACTCAGGTTTGGAAAGTTTATACTATGCACAGTGTTCCTGCTGCCGAACAGCAAAATAGCCTGTGCCAATTTACATTGAATTGCTGTTGTGGAGTCAGAGCTCCAAGGGAACCAGATACCTTTGGCAACTTTGAAGTGCAGGAGCTGAGAGTTGGTGGTCTTTGTGCTCTGTAGCATTTCAGAAGCATGTGTAAGAAAAGAAAAAGCACACTTAGCTGAAATATGTACTGTATATGCTTTTTATAACCTGTTAGTTCAGTTAGTTTTGACTTTTGCTATTAACAAATAAGATCATTCCATATGAAGTACAGAAACATGAGAAATGTGCAGGACATGGGGTGGGTCATACTCCAGAGCTGCTAACACCTCAGGCATTTACCTTTCTTTAGCAAATCCAGTTTGGTCTCCTCATCCCTGACGCCTTCTGCAGGATTGGCACTGTTGCCTGTTGAATAGTACAGAAAGAAATCCTGCAAAGCAAGATGGTATAAAATTGCAAAACAGTTAGGATGATCCTAATGAGAAGCTGAAGTTCATTCTCCTTCCATGTTTAAGATTAAATGTTACTCATACTAGGCAGTGCAATGATGATCTTTGGGTTTTGATAATAATTTGGCTTTTATCACAGTGGATGTTTTGCAATTTTGTTTTTGTAAAAATAATAAGTGGTTTCACAAAAGTGCTTCTCATGAACGCTGTAGGGCGTTAACTACTTTTGATCTGCTTTGGCTTTTATATTCACTGACTTTTTTCCAGTTCGTAAGTCTCCTTGAAGAACATGGCAATAAAAAACGGGCATCTCACCAGTTTGGGAAGGGTGACGTAGGAGACAATGGCCACAATGATCACCACACATGCTGTGATAAAATACCCAAAGGAGCTGTCCTGCAACTCTGAACCACCTGAAGAAAAGAGGGAGGGGAATAAATCACAGCACCCACAGCTGGACTCCAAACAATGAATATCGGATTATAAAACATCTCAGTTAAAGATTCTGTATTCTAGTGTATTTAATAAGCTAATTTTAAACTTTAGAACTTAGATCATATTGAAAATACAGTTTCGCAAACTACTGTATTTTGTGAAATACAACTATTTTAAACAAGAACATTGTAACCAAAAGCCTGGGCACAACGCATGTGGCCCAACCTCAGACAGCCTTGTTGCAATCAGCAAGTAAAGAACAATCTTATGCAAAATAAATACCACCTAATCTAGCAGACACACGTTTTTCAAAGCCAGCCTGGTAGCATAACTAGCAACAAGCGACAAGAGAGAATGCAGTGCATCTCTTGGTTCCATTTCCTGTAACAGTTGTGTGCTTTCTCATGTTCTGATCTTAGCTCTTTGAAGTTGGCCCCCCTACAAACAGTGAAACGCATCTCTTTTGTTAGTGCCGGTTTGTGCCGTTGAAAGTAGCGTTTGTGCTGCTTTTGTTCCCGAGATATAGTGCCTTGTTTTTCCGGTTATCACATGACCATGCACGCTGACTTTGACCTCCAGTGACCCCGTCTGCCGAGTTCAAGCGTCTGTTACCTGCGCGAGAGTAACAATTCTGCAACTTTGGTCCTCTGTTTGCCCTGGTGAAGGTACGGCGGTGGATTTTGCATTTAATATCATTATCTTCTATGCGTTTGTGTGAACAGGAAAATTAAATGTGTCTCCAATATCATACCCGAAACAGAAGTTACGGGTGTAGCCTTAAAAAGCGAACATTAGCAAACAACTGTATGTTCTTACAAAGAGGCTTTAACGAACACGTCTTAATACCTCGTAGCGGTGTCCTTTTTTAAAAATCTGAAGAAGTAAAAAGTTTCGCATTGTCTCCTTCTTAAATAAACATAGGCATCAAGGGACATGTGAAGATTCGATCTGTGTGTAAAGTCACGTATTTAAAAAGACTTGAATTTGCAACTTTCTGAACCATTGTTGCTCTTTTTTATGCAAAACACATTCGCCAACATGAAAAGGAACCAGGGATTCAGGACTATATATATAATATATAATATATAATATATATTATATATATCTCGGGAACGAAAGTGGCACAAACGCAGCACTAACGATTGAGACCAGCCCGGTTCCCATACGACGTTGTACGGGGACTGAGTGACGTCACGACCCCGAAGAAGCAAGGTGTTATATCTTGGAAACGAAAGCAGCACAAACGCAACTTTCAACGGCACAAACACAGCACTAACGAAAGAGGTGGGTTTCATCGTTTGTGCCGTCTGTAGGGGTCCCAACTTCACGGAGCTTCAGATCTTGTTTTAAAACAAGTTAATACGTACACTTCAAGAGGAACATCCTAGAGTGAGTGATTATGCATCATTCAGACCCACAGACGTAAACCTAGCTCATACTGTGACAGAGAACAATACAAGGGATGCAATCAGCTCATTAGAGAAATCCCACTTTC